TATATATATGTATTATTCTATATAAAAGTCTCTTAAAATGTAAAGCAATATTATGTCTGTAACTATAATATAAATTAATATTATACGAAATTACCTTCATATTATTTATATTGAAATATATTGAAATATATATTATGTTATGAAAAAATAATAAGATGATAACTAAAATTATATAATAAAATAAAAATATATTAAAAAATAGTAAAATAAATAATAAATATTACATATATATATCTGTATTCGTTAATTTGTTAGTTCACTGTCCTGTAAATTGTTACAAAAGGTTTATATGTATACGTATATATATAATTTTTTAAAAATATTTTTAAACAAGTAAAATTTTCAAAATTTCTCATAAGATTCAGAGTTTTCAGCTTGAAATTATTAAAAAATTACAATTACAAGTACTTGATTCATTTGCGTACAATTCTTATTTGTTTATAAAAAAAAACTTGTTTATTTCTAAAATTTATTTTAAAAATAGAACAAAAATTAAAAATAATTCTAATAATTTCGACATACTATTATCCTACAATAAAATTTAAGCAATTTATTAAATAAGCAACTGTATCCATGCGAATTTCACGAATACAATCGAGATATTGTAAAAATACATCTGCCCTGAAATGTGAATTTCAAAGAAATTCAAAGAAATTCACATTTCAGGGCAGATGTATTTTTACAATATCTCGATTGATATCAATCTTCAAAGCCGCGAGATATAAAAATCGATGAACTACTCTGATCTTTACGTAATGCGTGTCGCATGTTCCTCTGATTAATTCCTCTTCTGAATTTGATATCAAGGTCAGTGACAGATACCGATTTCTCGGCTTCTTGTAAATTGTGTTACACATCCGTAATGTCCCGTTTATGTTTATTTGTGCGAAATAAATTCTGTGCTCCAGATATTTTCGAACGTCTGAATAACGACGTAAAATTTTATTTCGTAAAACAGTGCAATAAATAATTTTAACAAGAGATAAAAATGAAATTCCATGGGAAAATATAATTCTAATAAAAGAACAGCTAATTTTCTAGAATTCTAGGAAGAGAGCGCTCTTCCTAGAATTATTAATTCTAGGAAGAGCGCTCTCCTCTGATGAAATATTTCGTATTTCGAGGCATATTACGAATCGAGGAAAATTGCGATTACGATCTAAGCGAATAGAGAATAAACTTTCTTAAGCATTTAGGAATCCTTCCCGCGTTTTCTGTCTTTCTCTCTTGAAAATCGATTGAATCATCTGCTTAGATTTGTACGTATGATGCATAATATGAAGCTCGAGATGGTAAATGCATGACTCTGTGTGTGTGTATATATACGTGTGCTGTATATGAATTGCATAACGGAGCATTTGAGCAATGAAGAAAGATTCGAAGTCGATGTCTATATAAGCTAAGAAGTCCCATAGAATTTTGATGAAATAGACGCGATCGATCAGCGATTGTTCTCTATGTCTCTCTATGATTTCTCGAAAGCACTTTTTTAGGACCTCTCGCTGTGATTGCATAACGTTTTCCGTGCTATGATTTTATGGATCCAATAGGTTTGCGTTTCTATTATTTATAATAGAAAAAAGTCGAGATAATCCGTATCGATTCGAGTCTGCCTTCCCAATCGCTAACAGAGAGCTGGTTCTGTTCGACCTGAGCGACGCGCGCCATGAGGATGCACGTAAGTGCATTTTTATCATAGCTCCCGGCTACAGTGCATGCACCTTTCACTAGCGGAAGTGAACAGCTGAGAGGCAGACGCGTGAGAGCGACCCAGGTCATTATTCACTCGTTACAGGCGACCGCTTCGTGCGAGCTGAGGCATCGCAAAACGCACGCTTGAGTCGGTTGTCGACCGACCGTTAAGTTGGAGTCAAGAGTCGGCCAATTATCGATTGACTTATCACTAATGTTTGCCATATTCTTTCGTTAGTCTCTCCTAACAGAACAACAATTTGTTGTGCATATCGTATTAATTTACAGAAACTTGTAAGGTGACGCTATAATTTTTCTTTAAATTTCTTAGAGTCCCTTTAATAACATTTTAATGCTTAGAAAAATTATACTTTTTGTTATAATTTCTTGTTATAATTTTGAAATACTATTTCGTTGTTATTTAAGAAAATAATCTACTCTTTGATTTAACCAAATCGAAAGATCTCTCCAGGATTTCGATAAAAGCGGACGATAAAATTGACTCTTACTTTCTTATCAGTACGTCACTGTTAACGATCAGTTTGAGTTTCAGAAATTCACCGATTGTCATCGCGATTGAAGAGGATTCGCGCATTAAAAGCGGAATCTCTTCAGTCTTCATACCGTGGCAATTAATCGCGCAACATGGTGAATATACGGATGCGATGTACGAAGTAAAGGAACAGAGCGCAAAGCGCACGTTGCGCTTTCTCAGCGACTTATGATTGCGCAATTGCGCGAAGATGGATACACGCACACATGAGCATGCACATACTGTAACGAGTTTCTCATTGGTGTGATCCGAGGTTTCGCCTGTGAAAAGATGCGGTTAATGGCGAAAAAAGCACTATCACCGATTTATCGGGGGAATAAAATTATATAGGAAGTAAATCTAGACCCTCTTCCTCTCTCTTCGTTCTTCTTATTTTCTCTTTCCTATTCGAAGCGCGCTGTAACTTCGCCACGTAACTGCTACTGCCATTATCTCCGACCTTCTTTCGATACCAACCATTTATTAATGATTACAAGCAATTACTATCCCTGCTATTTTTCATTATTTTATGGAGTTCCAATCTAATGATTACCTGCCAACAATACGAACTGGTTCGGGCCAGTATAATCTTGATCAGTTTCGATATTTTAGACAGTTTATTAGAAGTTATTTTAGAAGAACATTACATCTGTATTTATGTTTGTGGCGACAGAACGTGATAATATAATTTCAATGAAACTAAATACTCCTAAAAAGATAATTAGTTTTTTTTTTTTTTTTTTTTAAGAAATATTTTAAAGTATCATAATTTTAAAAAAATGTAAATAAAAATCGTAAAATTATAACATGATTGTCATCGTAAAATAAGAGTAATCTAACGTTTCATCAAATTTATATATGTATTTCATTCTTCAACTTCCGGATCGCTCTGTATAAAGAAAGCTAACTCTTATTATTACATTAGAAGATATTTAAATACGGAAACTAAGCATCCAATTGTCTGGTGCTTTTATCCGCTGTCATCAACGGGTTGTAATTAATTATTCGGCGCTTGTATATCTCGACAGAAATCTCTTCACACATGCATATACGTGTGTCTACAATCGCGAATGATCCACGAACAACCTAGACCTCCCAGGACGAGCTCTTCCTCTTGGATGTATGGCTGCTTTTAATGACTAAGCCACACTCGCCGTTAAGTTATTCATCAGCCGCAGTCCAAGGAGCTGATGATGTCCACGAAACAATAGGGGACTCGTACCGATTCTCTCGTCTGGTGCATAAATGTCGTTTGCAGCGATTATTAATTCCGCTATAACACGGGAAGAAGGAAGCAGCGAGTTAATAATCCCAACACTGCACTGAGGGAATTGGCGTCTGTCGGTGCGATGAGAGTGCCGGCTGTGTCGGTGAAACTCGAGCGTAGTCTCGGCGACCTCTGCAAAGGTCGCTCCTCTTGCTCCTCGAGGAAAGTGAGGCCTGAATAAAGTGCAAGTGGAAGCGGATAATATCGTAATTGCGCAAAATCACTTGATGAGCGATTCGAGACAATGATAGACGCTTTGCACGGAGACAAGTGATGCTTGGCGAACGTAAAGAGAATCGTAAACGTAAATCAATTAGCAAAATCTTTTGCTGAAAATTCGATTCGGTAAATTGATCATTAAAATTCGATGAGACATCATGAATTTCGCACAGTGTTTCAATAATTTAAAAATAAGAGCCTAAGCACAGAAATTGTCATAAAGTTAAGGGTACACGATAGATAAAGTGTGTCGGCCAACTGTTGTGCCGTTTATAAAAAAAATTTGTTAGCAACGTAATCGCACAATGAATACATGGGAAAAATAATTATTTAACTAAAAGATTTAAAATTTTAACTGGAGGTGGATCTAAAGATAATTTTGTTGCCATCAAAATAATTTTATTGGAAACTTATAAGTAATAAAAGCAACGATGCAAAAAATTTTGATTCTAGCGACTAGTTTTATAACAAATAAATTTTAATTGTTTTCTATAAACGGCACAATGGCCGATACTTTGTCTATATTGTGCTGTTGCTCTTAAATCTTTATGTGTCGAATTATGATTCTGTCAGAAACAGTTACGACAAATTGCGAATTTTTATGCCCTAACGCGTCAAAATGATTTGCGTTACATTTCGACCGAAGACTTTGGTGAAACCAGGCGCAATTCTGTTGAGGGATTAGTTTAGAAACGCGGACGGACCGCGCAGGCGACGACACAATTACGCTATTAAGCAGTTGCTCAATCGTTAGGTAAACGCGCATCTTGAATCTTCAAATTGATGTAACGAAAATCACCGGCCATTTGATTCGATTTTATCAATACGATGGTAGTGGAAAATCTCACAAAACGTCCTGTCCGCACATTATACATATTTCATGCTGCTCTTCATATAATATATATTCGTGTAATATATATAAAATGTTGTAAAATCCATTACTTCTTATAGCTACTCCTACGAATTTCGTCTTAGAATTACCTTTTTTACTGGAAAAACATACCATAAAATAGATTTTAAGATCAATAATATTTAAAAAAAAATATAAGTAAACATGAAAATGTAAAAATAATATAGAAGGTAATGTATTTAATATAATTCTAA